GAAGTTATACTTCTTTTATTAGGTACAAACAAAACTGCACCACTAAAACTGCGTGGTACCTGCTGGCACCACTGATTGCGGTCATTGGCGTGAGTCTGATCCCAATGTCGCTTTTGAGTGTCAGAATCGACGATGGAACAACGCTGTTTTGCGCGAGTGAGACTGGATTGGTGGAGCGTATCATGAGTTTGGTCGGATTACCAGCTATCTTGATCATCTCAGTGGCAACACTGCTGCTGCTATATCTCATTCAGGGACGAAAAAACAGCGCCAACAACTCAGCTGCCGAAAAAGAGGTTAAAGCTTGACCTAATTACTCTATAATTTGTTGCAAATTCGTCTCATGATTTGATAGACAATCATTTCTACCGTTTTTTGTTGTTAATGAGACGTTCATTGGCGTATTACCCGGGTTGCCCACCATAGAAGATAATGCGCAACCATGCACATCCTTGATTATTCAGTTTCTATGTCGCGCCAAATATGGTTCTTTGTTAAACATATGTAGCGCCATATATGTTTCCATGGTATCCATGCGTCGCGCCATGCATGGTACCATAGTAACCATACGTCGCGCCATGCATGATACCATAGTACCCATACATTGCAAGCTTCCATGGTGACATATAATTTATCAACAGCCCTAGTAAAAGTATCAATATTGTCTAATTTGAAGTCCCCCATACTTTAAAAAAATGTGGAATCATACGTCGCGTCATGCATGGAAAATGTGTTATTTTAACATAAAAATACGTCGGCAATTTTTCATGGCTTCCATGGAACCATGCATGCTGCGACGTATGGTTGCACATTTTGGTCAACCCGGGTAACTAAACCTGACCTAGTAAAATATTATAAAAGACAATATCTGTCGTGGGATGTGGAGAGGGTTAGTTTTTTTGATGTGACTAAAAAAACTTGGGCGTAGCGTGGCTTCTTTCAAAACGTTTTTGACTTTCGTCAAAAAACACTCATAAGGGCCCACAGTAACAAAATTTATGTACCAAGAGCGAGTTTTTCAAGACAATGACAACATTAAAGTTTTGAGGCTCTTTAACAGTGACTAAGACATAGAACAGTTAACAGTTTTTTCCCCACCAGTTTCAAGTATCTCAAGCAAAGTGGTGGTTGATTAGGTGTGGTATAAGTTAACCATGACTAACAATATTCCTGCTAATCATGTGAAAAATACTTTCGATGCGAATCATATAATTTCAAAGTGCATGCCAATCATATCTATATTACTGTTACAGCTACAATTCTAAAGAAACATTTTTCCTCTAGTGGACATTGGGTTGAAAAACCGGATCTACTTAACAATCCCCCCTATGATATCTACTAAAGAATTGCCACCCCTATTACTGTTACAGCTAATCATGGCTCTTGCCGGCACTTCGGCCATGTACGCAATATTCGGATCCATTTCCTACTGCTTCGTGTTCTACGGATTCTGGCTGCTGGTTGACTATACCGTGAACGACCTCATCTTCTACCAGGCCATCGGCCTCCAGGTCAACACTCTCGGCATCATCTTAAGGAGTCCAATCCTTCTCTTCATGCAGCCGATGCGAGAGGCTTTCAAACGAGGCTGGAATGCCACCTTCTCAAAATGAGAGAGTACCTAAACCAGCCGAAGCATAAGTCAACCGAAAATAAGCGGCGTATATGAGCCAGCCGAAAAGTTACATCATATGAATGAGTTTGCATAACTTTCGGCTTTGTTACGTAATTCTTATATAACTATTACACAACACTTACGTATTTTCGCCTGGTTTGTACTTCGGCTGGTTTATACTATGGTTGGCTTATGTAACACGGAAAATGAACTTGGAATCATCAAACCAACAAGACGTCACCACAATTCGATAGGAACCGATCAATTCGAACTAAGCTCAGTGCAATCGAAAATTTTCAAAAACGTCCCTATAATGAAATTTAATTTTTCCCTGATTATCTTGAGGTCACCTTCGGTAACTCGTACTTAATTACGGTTCCTCACATCATTTTGCAGTGTTTTGCAAGCGGTTATCTTCAAGGCCACTTAGGGCCGAATTAGAAACATTGTGTTGAACACGGTCACTCTTGATTATGTTATGCTTAGATATAGGTGTTAAATACATAGTCTTACTTTTATGTTGTAAACGTGATTCCTTTAATGTTAAATTGATACTGTGTATCGGATTCAACCAACTCTATTTCCAACCAATTATTATTCAACTAATTTACATTATCCTTATAAAACTCTCTAGTTTTTGAGTTAACATTCTTCGGATAATGTCATGGCGCAGCTAGCAGTTACTGTGAACGACGACAGGACTGACTTGTTAGGAATTGCTCAGTTCTGAACGAAACCATCAATTAAACCTCTTTTCCTGTGGGAGACTTGGATTGGTCAATTCTTCTAGGCAGTGAGTCTCAAGGATAATATCAACCGCAATAATCTCGTCGTCGATACAGCAGAGATTATCGACGAACCTCTTCCGAAAAAGGAGGCACCAGGACAAGGCGGAGATGCTGCTGAGACCAATGCTAGGATCCTCCGGAATCAGATAGCTGTCCGCAGAGTGACTGAGTTTAATCAGGAATGACGGAGGAAAGGACCGCGAATCAGTCAAAACTGGTTTCACCACGAAACGGACGAAACGGAAGCCAGATTAAAATCAAGAATTTTTTCTCGCTTGGCAATGAAGGTAAGAGGCGGCGATACAATGGCTCCTTCCCGCACACCGACGTCGGTGTGACGTCGTTCAAAGACTTCCACGATAGTTGTGAAGTCCTATTCAAAGTTGACCGAGATTACACGGTTGAACACATAAAACTTTATACTACCGTTTTGATGCTAGACTAAGATATTTTTTCGTCATGTGCAACTGGCCGACCACTCAGGGGAGGAAAGCTCTTAAAAACCTCTTAATCGGAAGGATAACAACAACTGATCAAAGCCACGACGGACCTGGACGGCCCTTTCAAACTCGCTTTAGAATGATATCAGGGAGCAAACACTTCCTCACAGTTTCCGAAAAACTTGCCGCGCAATCAGCATTCGGGTGTCATCAAGGTCAAACAGGAGCAGGCCTTCTCTATTCAGTCAACTAGAGGCAATTTTTGTAGGCGCGGTGGCCCTCAAAATTAATCAAACCGTCGAAATCAAGGAAACCAAGGCAACGAACCCTGTTACTTTTGTCGCACTCCTTTCACTCCCGATCACAGGAAATCGTGCCCGGCGGGAGAAGGCACGTGTACCTTCTACAAAGAGCGCGGACATTTTGCTAAGTGTTGCAATTGGACAAAACGAAGTGCGAGTCTAGTTCGTGAGGAAGAGGAAACACCTAGCCCCGCGTTAGACTGGGGCTTTATTGACGACGAAAATAACAGAGAGCCCGAATACAGAAGTTTCCAGTTGGAAGACAAAGTGTAGATTTATGTTATTGAACTATTGACGTCAACTGCGGGGAAGCCTAGGAGCCTAATTACTCAACTTCGATCAGGTTTCAGTTTTTTATTCCATTATCGATATCGGATGTCAAGTTTCGTTCCTCAACAAGCATACGCTAGACCTATTACTCTCACGAAACCCGTGTATTCAATTCGGGGACATCGCACATCACCCAATTGGAATTGCATATGTGGTTTATAACAGAAGTCTCATTCGGTTATTTGCATCTGTCACGACTCCTGTTTCGAAAAAAGGGTGGAAACTTGAAGACTCTACTTTTCTACTTTCAGAAAATCGGACAAGAAAACTCCTTGGTCTGGATTTGCGCGAGAAACTGGTGACATCTCATTTAAAAGCTGAGACTTTTCATCTACTAGTGGGCACAACACACGAATCTACATCGGAATTTTGAAAATTGTACTACGCGAAACATTATGCTCACGTCTTAATCAATTGGGTCGTTCGAAAAATAAAAATTCTATACCCACTTCAAATTCCCTCTCATTTCTAGGCAAGTGAAAGGTCGGAAAAACCCAATACATATTCAGGACCGACTCGCTGGCGAAATCAAGAACTTAGTTAAGGATGAGCATATTAAAAAACTTGACAACTGAACAACGGACTGCTTCCTTGCACCTATTGAGGTGACAGCAACAAAAGATGGTTCGATCGAAAAAGCTCTTAACGCCCAGCCTATGAACGCTCAAATCTGAAAAAAAAAATTAAGTACTCGATGCCCAATATGCATGACCTCATTGACTCTATGGCGCAGATTATTACCAATGACGTTCCTGGTAAAGTGTGGTTCACGTCCTTGGACCTAAAATACGATTTCAGTCAGTTGCCACTATCGTCATTAACCAGCCTTGTAACTTCAGTATCTTGCGTGGAGAAGCAACAGGAAAATACCGATACCGAGATGCCGACGGAGTTCCAGAAGGCATTGGGCTGCACTTTAGAGGGCTCATTTGTTATTTAGATGATATTCTGGTGGTCACAAAAAGAAACATGGAGGACCACAACACTCTGGTTGAAGCGGTGATGAAAAAACTCCCCCAAATTTTTAAAAATTGAGCGCATACAATCCTTCAAACCTCCAAAAACGCCAAAACAATTATGATTGTTCAGGGGCACATTGAACCACCTGCAGAAGTTTGTTCTGAACTTGCATAGACACACGGTGCATTTTCGCCACTCGTTGAAAGCCTGTAATAAACAATTTTTCACGTAGAGGGAGGAACAGGATGTTGCATTCAAAATCATTACTGGTCTTATTGCCAAAATCCTCAGCCTCTTTAATTACGATTCATTTAGAGATCTAGAATCAAATGTGACGCTAACCATAGTGGCTTAGATGCCTGCATCGAGCAGGAGATCGAACCCAATATCTGGTCACCAACCGATTTCGCTTCACGTTTTCTCAACAATGCAGAGGAAAACTACAGTCCCACGAATTGGAACTCTTGGCGATAATTTGGTCATGCGAACACTTCCAAAAGTACCTATTAGGCAATCGATTTCAATAATTAACTCATCATGAAACTGTAATTTCCGCGCTCAATGAGCACTATAACTACAAATCGTATCAGTCTCGTTTATCCAGGTGGGCTGGTAGGTTATTACCCATCAATTTTGAGTTGATGCACGTTCCTGATGTCACCTTAGGCATAGTTCATTATATGTCACGTTACCCCACGTTTAACGCCCCGTTACTTCTCAATATGACAAACTGTTTGTAATTAAGTCCATTCAGGCTTTTAATAAGGCCCTTAATTTCATCACTTCTCATAGGGAACGGGAGAAAGAGGTTCCTTGGGTCGATCCCCATCCAATCAATGAACAACACAAAAGTCACTGCTCAAGTACCGGTCAAAAGGTGGACTTTTTTAAGGATTCGATTAGCCAATCAAAACGGATGCTTCCTAGTAGTACTCGACCTCAAGATGGCGTTGTTTTTCCTATCAAGCGCGAAATAACGTTACCACCTACACATCGTCATCCCTCGCTAGCACTAAGTCTAGAATTAAGCCATCAGTCAAATCACTTTCGGTCATTTCACCCCACACTTACAACCACTACAGGGTGGGCGCGAGTACTATGTTTCTCTAGATCAATCACGTGGTGCTATACAAGTTAACTAATCTTATTCCTGGCCGTTAGAGGGCGCAAAGTATGAGCAGAAAATCTCAACCAATCACACACCAGTATGCATATGAAAAATCGTCATTACCAACCAACGCTCCGAAATCATTATCTCCGACCAAAAATTGCACAAAACACTCAGCTCTCAAATTTTTTTATGAACAATACTGATCCAAGTAACATTGACATGGATGATCTGAATATTAATAATGTCTTAATCAACCCAAATGCTGTTCATAACTCGACTGCTGTTTTTCTCGACCAATTCCTCGCCCCTCTAAGATCTCGCCAACTAGGCAGGGTATCCAGGATTGATCAGATTAGACAACACAACCGAACCAGAGAACGTGCCACAAAAACAAAGTTTGTCGCCGCCCGATCAGATACACGAAAGCAGGGACAATCTAACAGCTTGAGGCGCTGAGTAGCGGATAGAACTCATCAGACCTTGCCCCTCTAGGATCTCGCCAACTAGGCAGGGTATCCAGGATTGATCAAATTAGACAACACAAGCGAACCAGAGAACATGCCGCAAAAATAAGGTTTGTCGCCTACCGATCAGACACACGAAAGCAGGGACACTCTAACCGCTTGAGGCGCTGAGGAGCGGATAGAACTCATCAGACAACGGTCGCTCACTATGCCTCAAGAAGTGGCAATGCCTCAAGAAATTACATCATCATCGGGTAAAGAGAAGAAAACTCTGCAGATAGATTGAGAAAAACTTTCAAACTGTCCTGAAACTCATCAAATCTCTACTGGGAGCTTTTTCTAGCCATTTTCTGTAATGGAGGTGCTATTAGGTTTGTCTTTTTATAATCTCTCCTTTATCCAAATCATTTATTTTCCTTCCTATTCATCATTTCAATGAAAAAGAGAAAAGAAGAGAAAAAAACAGCCCGGCGCTACCCTTATTCTTTCATTAAGAAATTTGCCTCCTTTTGTTGCTAAATTTTTTTCCTCACCCGGGGACTGTCGTGAGAAAAAACCTTCGGTACCTTGTACTAAATTACGGTTCCTCAAACCTCTATGCAG